TTAAACCCTTGACTCGATAAAACACAGGACACAATTGGTAAGCGGACCCGGCATGTAATTCATGACCAGTCATAATGTAAGAACGATGTCTGGAGACGCATTTATTGACATCTAAATGACGGAAACGGAGAAGATCAAGGATTAAGTCATTGTCATATGCAAATCCGAAGATCTACTGGACTTGTTACGCAGTTGAATAACGGAAATCAAATGTTCATTGGGAAGCCTTCGAGAACGGGCCGGCGGCGTTGAGTTCATAATAAGACGAAAGGCTATATCATTTTTACTGAGCAGTGCAATTTATCACCTCGTATAACAGTTCTGTTTCTGCAGTTGGTCAAAAGAATAAGAACAAAAATGATCGAAACTTACAGCCCAACTCAAGCAGCTACCGATTAAGAGACCAAACGATTCTTTCAGGAAATGCGAAGCGTATTGAAAGAATATGATTTCGTACATAATTATTAAACGAGACTTCAGGTGTTTATCAGCAAATATGGAAAAGCGAATGAAACATGCAGCATGATCGCTTCACTGGAAGAAACTACCTCCAAGTCACAAGCACCGTTTTCCGTTGATGATCTGAAGGAAGACTGTACCGTTTGTAGTGAGCTGCGATATTACATCATTTTGTGCAGCATTCTTTCTTCCAGCGAATTTCTTCCGTAATGGTGAAGTTACTCCTGCTGTATGCCGCATAAGAGAAATCAGCATCAGTCTTGGTATTTATATCCAGAGGACTTATGACGATTTTTCAGCGTAATTCTTGGTTAGCATGAATTGTATTTCCGGTATTCCGAAGCTTGAACGCTTACTCCTTGAATGATAAAAATTACTTATATGCCTTTTAACTAATATGTATAAACTTTGAATTATGTAGCTGACAAAATAGTGATCAGAGCTCTAATGATCAGGTTACTGGATGACTGTTACTTGACATGTAAGTGAGCAAGGTACTCCGAAATGTTCAAATCTTTGTAAACATTGAACTGCTCGGTATGGCGTCAAGTTTGGCAGATGATCCGTAATAGCGACCGAACCGAACACTGATGTTATGATGTCATGACAACTTTTTTCGAATAGGCATTAGGCTTTCCATTTTTGACAGAGTGAAAACTACTACTTGGAAACAGTGTTGCCACAAAACACGTACGTTATGCTATTTTAATGTGTTGCTGAACAGTTTTTAAGCTTCTTGTCTTTCCTCCATGATCAGCTTTGAATTCTCATCCTGAATTTCTTATATTACCTCTACAGCACACCTTTTTTTAAATATTTTCTTCTCGTTACATATAGATTGCGTTTGATCTTTGATCGGTTTGACTATATCTTTTTGGAATAGTTTCTGCTTTCACGCGTGCCTTTTATGAACATGATGCTATAATTCAGGCATCATGTTCAGCGATGCTGAGATTTGGGCATCAAAATTCGCTTTAATGTATGCTTTTATGTCAGTTGAAAGCGCATAGCGCAAATGCCGTCTTTTCAGTCGACGTCACAGCAATTACGGGTCCTAAGACGTGAATGTTTCATTGCATAATTGCTGCAAGTGGTCTCTATTGGCTGCCCCTTAAGAAGTAAGCACGACGATTAAGGACATACATTTGATCATGTGATTCGATATTACAAAGGCAAAATGTGCGTAATTTTCTTTCTGCCGACTTCCCGTTCATTGACTTAGAGTCCGCCTGTATCAATTGTCGGCAAGGAAATTGTATTTACTATTAATAATTAGATTTTTTTCTGATTTTGAACTTAAAATTTACCTTTTATGAGCTGTGCTGATGTAATCAGCTGTGTTACAACAGATTCCTACGATGATATAAAATCTATTATTCATTTACGCGTTTCGAAACGGCGCACGGGTGTCATTATCGGGATAAAATATGAATAACTATAATTAGCTTGGTCATCTTGAGAAATCTCTCGAAATTTCTTTAAAATCCGCGGATTTACATAATCAGCGTAGTTAAAAGGTTATATTGCATGTTTGAAGGACAAAATGAATTGCAGCTATAGGAATATGATCGCCTTTTTTCAAATTGCGAATTATGATATGGATGAACCAGCTACATTTCTGTGCAACTTCTGCTCTGGTGAAGCTTGACTTTAAACAGTAATGCAGAGTTGCATCGCCAGTAAGTGATATATGTTCCAGCCAAAATTCTTGCAGTGTCAGAAGCCGAAGCACTTCTGAAAGTGCGAATGATGTTTTTTTAATTTATTGCGCAGAAAATATTTTATCATTTATATTCAAATGATATTAATCAGATTCAGTTGAAAAGTGTTTTATTATTTGATTAAATAAGTTTTTAATTTATTTAAATTTTATCGCCAACAACTTCTGCAGTTACTTGTCAGGATGTCCTTCTGTGCTGATTGCAACTTTTCGAGCTAATGAACTTGATTTTTTGAATACCTCAGCGGATAATTAGTGGAGTTTTTCTAGACAGGTACACATATATCTTCGAAGGCAAGCGAGTTGTGGCTCGATTCAGTCGAACTTCAGTTCCAGCCTTTTTGATGAGCCAAACTCGACGCTGGATATATCGTCAACTGCCAAGTGTGGTTCGGAAACAGTGGAGTCATCAGATGGGTCGAAGAACTTCAAGCAGGTGAACAGGCGAGTGGTAAAACCGAGTGTTGCTTGGTGTCGACGAGGCAGCGCGGTCGGTTCGTCATCGTCGTCCTCGCAGACGCTGGCTTACAAGACGGTGCCGAAGAGGGTTAACCTACTGGATACGGAGGTATGCCAGGTGTATGACTACTTGTTCATGAGCGGCGTACAGGCAGCGTACAACGCCAACTTCCTGTGTAAATTTAACATCGAGTATCTGATCGACGTGTCGAATGTCGAGCCACAGAACGTGCCGCGTGACATGAGGAGCGACGTGCCGTGCGTATGTCCGCGAGAAACGGCCCATAGTCGGGCTCGCATGGCGATCACGATCGATGAACACAGTACCCTCGACCTGGTACCCATGTTTGAAGATGTCAACCGCTTTATCGACTCAGCTCGCGTCTGTGGCAAGTCCGTGCTCATCTACAGTTATTTGGGCCGCAACCGATGCGCCGTGTTCGTCGTCCAGTACATAATGAAGACCAAGCGGATGAATTGCGACCGTGCTGTTCAGGTTCTAAAGGATCTCTGGCCGAACATCGACATCTCTGAGAACTTCTATCACTCGTTGCGCAAATGGGACATCACGTTGAACCTCTTCAGTGCATCGATCGACTCACCCAAGGTTGTTGCTAAACGGTCACCGTTCATTACCAGATCCGCTTGGGTGTGACACCTGTCACTTGGTTGACTCAGTCACTGCTCTGTGTGCATAAACTTTTGAGTATATACGCATTACTGTGTGTTTCCTTTTTGTGCTTAATAAACTTTGCACTCGGTTTAACGTCATGCTTTTACGACCTGTTGTCATTCTCCATATCATCTACTGTTTTATGTTACGTTTTAGCGATATTCATGTGTACGCCGTTATTACTCTACCTGGTATAATGTGAATAATAACGAGATAATATAGCGTGGGCAGTTTAGAGAAAAATACAGATAAAACCAATAAGTTAAAGAAAGCATATTCTCGTAATAAAATTTCAGTAGACGATTGAAGTTTATGCTTAGTTGTATTTATATCTTTAATTTTGTATTTAATATTTAAGTGAAAAATGTTATTGCTGTTCAGATGTTTGAAAATGATCTTCTGTAATACGTCAGAAGTACATTCATCATGAGTTAATACGTCGAATGAAAAGAGTTGACAAGTCAGTCAAAGCTTGGACCTAGAATGTCGCATTGTTGCCATAAAAAATTTTCAGAACAGCTGTTCTAAGTTTTACAGCTGTTTCTCCTGTAACTTTTTGTTTCT